AACCTTTAGGAACTGGCATTTTATTTGACCCACTCAGCCTGTGCATCAGAAATGAATGTGGTTTGTGAAGTATATAACCGAAGGATAATTCTTTTTTCTCTATTTTTTTCATGGGATGTGGGCTTCGCTGGTTAGTCAGCATTTGTTGCACATCACCTTATTGCCCAAGGAGCAGTTAAGAGTCAACCACATGCAGTGGGTTTAGAGTCACATATAGACCAGACTGGGTAAATAATTTAGTCACGTAATGAAACAAGTTGAACCACTGGCATTCCTGACATGTGCCAAACTCTTGCCAATGTGGATCACCTACAGCATCTATAAAGTAGCTCAAGTATTCATTCTATGCTACAAACAGTTCAAACACAGTCCTGGCAGAACGTCCTTGAGAGAACCTGAAATTTTTAGTTTTTTACTTGAGCCTCTGTGTTCGTCAGATGTTAGGGTAAGTCTGGAAGGATAACAGAGGGTAGATGTGATTTTTTAAAAATCCGTTCATGAGATGTGAACATCACTGGCCAGGCCAGTATTTATTACCCATCCCCAATTGCCCAGTGGGTAGTCGAGAGTTAACCACATTGCTGTGGGTCTGGAGTCACATGTAGGCCTGACCAGGGAAAAACAGCAGATTTCCTTCCCTCAAGGACATAAGTGAACCAGATGGGTTTTTCTGACAGTTGTCAACAGTTTCATGGTCATCATTAGACTTTTAATTCAGATTTTTTTTTCCATTGAATTCAAGTTCCATCATCTGCCATGGCAGGATATGAACCCAGTCTCTGCAACATTACCTGGGTCTCTAGATTAACAGTCTGCTGATAATACCTCCCAATGTAGAGATTGGGCAATTATTTTATATCCGGTGAAATCCTTCGTGATGGATAACTCTGACCGTTGGGTTCAAATTATGAGAGAAGGGTGCACCATGGAGGATTTTGGGACAACTGTCAATTTGTTGATGTGTGGGGGAAGTGGTGTATAATCATTTGAAATATCTACTGAGCCCACTCAAAGCATAGTTACAGCTATTTGTTGGAGGATGTTAGCAGCAAGTCAGGTTTAGCAGAATTACATTCTCATTGCAATAACCTCTCACTTTCCTCTTCTTCTTCCAGCATATCTCTGAGATAGTGTACAATTCACATTTACTTGTTACAATGTGCTTTTCAAATCAGAGACATGCAGACCAGTATTGCCAAATTATTTCAAACAAATATGTTACAGGAAAATTTTGTGAATACTATCACAGATAACAAAATCCAAGGCACAATTAAATCTAACAACACAGAGTGTCTCAATTTAAGCATGAAAAGGACTCGTTAATGGTAATATGGTTGAATTTAGAATACAGATGGAGAGTGTGAAGATAAAATCCAATACCAGGGTCCTGTGCTTGAACAAGGGGAACGACAATAGAATGAGGGAGGACTTGGCTAAAGTAGACTGGAAACAAAGATTTTATGGAAGGACAGTTGACGAGCAGTGGAGGACTTTCAAAGCAATTTTTCAAAGTGCTCAGCAAAAGTATATTCCACTGAAAAGGAAGGACTGTAAGAAAAGGGGTAATCTGCCATGGGTGTCTAAAGAAATAAGGGAGGCTATCAAATTGAAAGAGAAGGCATACAAAGTGGCCAAAAACAGCATGAAACTAGAAGACTGGGAAAACTTTAAAGGTCAACAGAAAGCCACAAAAAGAGCTATAAAGAAAAGTAAGATAGAACATGAGAAAAAACTAGCACAGAATATAAAGACAGATAGCAAAAGTTTCTATAAATATATAAAACGAAAAATAGTGGCTAAAGTAAATGTTGGCCCTTTAGAGGATGAGAAGGGGAATTTAGTTACGGGGTATGATGAAATGGCTGAGGCATTGAACAGGTACTTTGTATCGGTCTTCACAGTGGAGGACACTAATAACATGCCAGTAATTGACAGAGACGAAGGTAGGTGAGGACCTGGAAACAATCATTATTACAGAAGAGGTAGTGTTGGGCAAGCTAATGGAGCTAAGGATTGATAAGTCTCCTGGCCCTGATGGAACGCATCCCAGGGTACTAAAAGAGATGGTGAGAGAAATAGCAGGTGCGCTGGCAGTAATTTTCGAAAATTCGCTGGACTCTGGGGCAGTCCCAGCAGATTGGAAAACAGCAAATGTGACGCCACTGTTTAAAAAGGGAAGTAGACAAAAGATGGGGAATTATAGACCGGTTAGCTTAACCTCTGTAGTGGGGAAGATGCTTGAGTCTATTATCAAGGAAGAAATAGCAAGGCATCTTGATAGAAATTGTCCCGTTGGGCAGACGCAGCATGGGTTCATGAAGGGCAGGTCATGCTTGACAAATCTTTTGGAATTCTATGAAGCGATTACGAGCAAGGTGGACAATGGGGACCCAGTGGATGTGGTGTACCTAGATTTCCAAAAGGCCTTCGACAAGGTGCCGCACAAGAGGCTACTGCATAAGATAAGGATGCATGGCATTAAGGGTAAAGTATTAGCATGGATAGAGGATTGGTTGACTAACAGGAAGCAAAAATTGGGGATAAATGAGTGCTATTCTAGCTGGCAGTCAGTGACTAGTGGTGTGCCTCAGGGATCGGTGTTGGGACCGCAATTATTTACAATTTATATAGATGATTTGGAGTTGGGGACCATGTGTAGGGTGTCAAAGTTTGCAGATGACACTAAGATGAGTGGCAGAGCAAAGTGTGCAGAGGACTGTGAAACTTTGCAGAGGAACATAGATACATTGAGTGAGTGGGCAAAGGTCTGGCAGATGGAGTACAATGTAAATAAATGTGAAGTCATACATTTTGGTAGGAGTAATAGTAAAAAGGATTATTACTTGAATGGTAAAAAGTTGCAGCATGCTGCTATGCAGAGGGACCTGCGTGTCCTTGTGCATGAATCACAGAAGGTAGGTCTGCAGGTACAGCAAGTAATTAGGAAGGCAAATGGAATTTTGTCCTTCATTGCTAAAGGGATTGAAAGGGATTAAAAGCAGAGAGGTTATGTTGCAGCTGTACAAGGTGCTGGTGAGGCCACACCTGGAGTACTGTGTGCAGTTTTGGTCTCCTTACTTGAGAAAGGATGTACTGGCACTGGAGATGGTGCAAAGGAGGTTCACTCGGTTGATTCTGGAGTTGAGGGGGTTGGCTTATGAGGAGAGACTGAGTAGATTGGGATTATATTCATTGGAATTCAGAAGATTGAGGGGGTATCTTATAGAAACATATAAAATTATGAAGGGAATAGATAAGATAGAATTAGAGAGGATGTTTCCACTGGCAGGTGAAACTAGGACAAGAGGGCATAGCCTCAAGATTAGAGGGAGCAGATTTAGGACTGAATTGAAAAGGAACTTCTTCACTCAGAGGGTTGTTAATCTTTGGAATTCCTTGCCCAGTGGAGTAGTTGACGCTACTTCAGTAAACGTTTTTAAAGATAAGGTAGATTTTTCTTGAACAATAAAGGAATTAAGGGATATGGTGAGAACGCGGGTAAGTGGATCTGAGTCCATGAAAAGATCAGCCATGATCTTATTGAATGGCGGAGCAGGCTAGAAGGGCCGGACGGCCTACTCCTGCTCCTAGCTCTTATGTTCTTATGTTCTTATGTTCTCACTTGAACCCCCCCGTTGAACTGTCTTTAAAGGTCCAATGTATTTTTCCAGGATTGTTGCTTCTAAATGAAAACATAACAAATAAGAGTAGTTGAATACAAGTCAAGATGGAGGCTGATTATTCATCTCAACTGCACCTTCCTGCCTAGACCCAAGCCCTTGATTCCCCTACGACATCAAGTCAAAATATGTGTTTATTGGAGCCTTATCCCAGAACACCTGCAACGCCCTGGGGTGGAAAATTTGAAGGACTCATCTGAGTCCTAAATAAACGTACCCTGAGATGGTGACCCCTGTTCTCGATTCCCAGCTCTGGGAAAGCTCACTCTCAGTGTGAATCCTCTGAAGCCCCTTCAGAATCTTGTTTGTCTCAATGAGATTATCTCTCATCTTTCCAAGATGTTTTTCATTAACCTGTTTGAAGATGTTGTTACACACCACTGGAGCAGGGATACTTGAACTTGGGCCTCTTAGCCCAAAGGTAGGGACACTACTACTGCACTACTTCTCCCTCTCAAACAGCCTCATGTCATTGGACAGGTGGTTCTGCTGGAGTTTGGCAGCTAGGCCATTGTTTGACGTAACCGTTCAAGTTGGATTTCAGAGTGAAAGGAATCGCCTTCATTTGTTCTGTTTTAAATCTCTCCAATTTGTTGTATCATTGACTTCAATTTCCCTGATTCAGGAGCGGCTTTGGCCAGCATGTGTGTGTATTAGGAGCCAGGGCTGCATTAGGCTCAGGGATCCATTGCTTGGTGTGGTGGCCATGGATGGCATTCACCTTGGTCACTGTAAGTGCACAGCTGGGCTCTGTGATTTCCCTAACTTATTCTTAATCCTAATCCTAACCCTAACCCTATATTCATCAATACAATCGTATCCCTATACTGACCGTGACCTTGACATTAATTCTAATCCTAATCCTATTCCTGACCCAAATCCTATCCCTGTCCCTGGCCCTAACCCTACCTCTATTACAGGAGGGTAACAGGTGTTGCAGAAATGGTGCCAGGAATAACAGCATCAGGTGACAGAATGGAGTCTTACCTTGTTTTTTTGTTTAATCGGGGAAACTGAGTAATAACACACAACACATTTCAGAACCAACAGAGCAGTTTGTTCCAGTAAGAAGGGAGTAGAAAAAGGAATGTTATTATTTGAGGCGATTCCCACTCCAGCCGGGACGAATAACAAATTGGGATAGCACAGCTCTGTAAATGAGATCGATCTGATGAGATATTTGAAGGCACCCAGTTAGCTGTTTGCAAGGGAGAATGTTTGTGATCTGTGTAATGGAAAGCGGCCCACAGAAAGAGATCTCACGAGGGATAGTAATAAAGTGGGCGGGTGACATGAGCAGATGCTAATTATTCAATTATACAACCAGGAGCAGCTCTCAGTGCCTGGGATTGCAGTCGCACCTTTTCTCTCACAAACAGGAGCTGGAGAATAGCATTGGTCGCCCTTCCACAAACACTGAGTATTCACTCCCAGAGTCAATGCTGATCTGTTCTCCCAACCAGCGTTTTGGCACCTCTGCTTGCCTGGCTAGAGCAAGGGGTCACCTTTAGTATGGCTGTTTAATCAGGTCCAACTACCCAGCCCAAGGAAAAGTTTAGAGTCTGGGGGGAGATGGCCGCTAACCGAGCTGAGAACTTTACTACTGACTCCGAGCAAGCTTCAGACGGGCACGCTGCAGGAAGCCAGGAAGAGATTCCAATCTCTCCCTCTCCAAACAGCCAGGATCCTGCAGCCCAGGAGCTAGTCGATGAGAATCCAGGGAACCAGAATCCGCCGGGGAAGGAGCAGTTGAATGAAGTGAACACTCCTGTGGAGGTTTTTGTAAGTGAACTGTTATTGTAAGTTGCTGTTGGTTCCCTCCAGCAACAAAACCCCAGTTTACTACCTTTTGTTAAATTGTTTTCTTTGGTCAATCCTATTCCCTACACTTTTTTTGGGTTTATTTGGTATAATCCAGTAGATTTTGAGGTTTAATCTTGGTTGAGCTGTGCTTCGAGGTTAAGGCTGTGAGTTCGGGACGTCAGAATTAGAGTCAAAGTAAAATACAGCGGCGGTTGGAAATCCGAAATAAAAACAACCAAGTGCTAGAGAAACTGAATCGGAACAAAACAGTTCTGAAGGAGGGTCACTGGACTCGAAATGTTAATTCTGTTTATTTCTTTTGTTTCAGAACTGGACAGGGAGACTTTGTTTTTTATTTTAAAAGTCAGGTTTTTAAATTACCTTCTAATTCTGTCATCTCTCTACCTTCGGAATCAACAGTCATTTACAAACCTGATGCTCTTCTTTCTGACCCTATCTTTCTTCCAACTCCAATATAATCAGTAATATTGAAAGCATATGATCTACCTTCACTCTTCTAATTGATCTCTTTAATGTCCAGGCCACATTTCTGCAAATTAAGGCCCCCTGTGTTTGCACTTTAACACCAAGCCACAGTGTCCCAGTGCCAAATATCCAGTCTTAACAGACCTTTTGACCTAGAGAATAACTGGTCTGTTATTAACTCGTTTTCTCTAAATACTAACAAATGGAGTAAGGACCAATGTTTCAAACAATTTAAGGTGCACTTGGAAGTAATCATGTCAAATAGATAAAATACACTTTAGGTTTAAGGTTTAGACTCTGAAATTGAGTTCCTGTTGCTGAGTGAACACTACATTTTTTTTCCTTCAGTGAGCATTATTGTTAATGCAGATGTTTACAATTCCATTTTAACTCAACTTATTCAATATACAGTTGATGTTTCTCAGCTTTGAATGCCCAGCTCTAAGGCATCCACCTGGGTATGGTCAACTTGTGCTTTTTTTTTGAGCATGCCAGAATCTGCTATTATCTGCTATTGTTGAATGGAGCAAATCAAAAACTGCATGTATGTAGTGAGCACTTGTTCCCTGCAGCAACTGTAAGGATGTAGTAATGAAAAACTAGCTGGGAATATAGTGTATTTCCAAAAAAAAAGGATATTGCATGAAAAAGTTAAACTGCAGCTGATGTTGAATAGCAGTGGTTTGAGGCTATAATGTTATAATATCATTGTACTTCTCAAATACAATGTAATATATCACAGCTAGGTAATATGTGAAGAATATGGATGGCAGAGTCACAATTTCACAATAAACAATATTTTTGTTTTTCTTTAATGCCCATGAGAGGCAACTCTTAACTGCCACACTCTGCTGATTAAGATTAATTTCACCATCATTAAAATATCATTTTATACTTTGATTACCTGAGTAATTAGAGAGAAAGGGGTTAAGACTTTAATTTGATTACATTTTAGTAAAGGAAATCAAATTATCGATGACTCCAGATATTGAGGTCAGAACAGGGCACTTTGTGAAGCAGGCATCAATAAAACAAGATTGGACAGTTTAACACCACCTGTGTTTGTCTCAATTAAATTCCAACATGCTTCACGAGATCTATGGAAGATGATGTGCATCCAAAACTGCATGAGATATGATGAAAAATAATGCAAAGGTTAAGTGGAAGCTGGTTACAAAAAGCCTCCCAGAGCAGGAGTAAAGATGCAGAGAGGCATGAGGACTGACCTAGACCACCATAACGAAGTGATTAATCCTTTTGGAGATGCTCAAGATTCCACAATTGAAGGAACGATTGTGTTGAAGGACATTGGGAGGTTTGATATAGAGGGACAATGCTATTGATGGACTTTAAAAATGGAAGCTTAGCTGGACCAGCATAGCTCCACAATTGTCCATAAAGTGGTGTTAGTTGGTATGGCTAAGTCCAAGGTGTAATTTCTGATTGATTGAACTAATAAAGTAATTGAAACTTCGAATTCACCTGTTCAGACATGTTATGACCCACCTCTGGAGTAGGTGGGAGATGAACCCAGTCCTTCTGGTCCAAAGGAAGGGACATTACCGCTGCAATGCACAAACTCTTTGATAAGCTAGAGTTAAACTGTGGCTGTGCAGTAGTGGCTACAAATGAGCACCACTTAAACATAAAAATAAAGAGCAGGAGTAGGTAATTCAGCCCCCTCTCCCCACCCCACCCCGAGCCAGCTCTGCCCTTCAATACAATCGTAGTTGATCTGATGGTGACCCGAAATCTGTGCTCCTGACCACTTTTCACCCCTTTACTTTAAAAAGTCTATCCACCTCTGCCTTAAAATGTTCAAGAACTCTGCTTCACTGTTTCAGGAAGAGAAAATCTTGAAATCTAAATCGAAAAATCTTATTTTACTTTGCCCTGGTGTTACATCAGGTACTGTAATTGCATCTTATTGACATCTGTGCCAAAATGGGAACATGAACCCAACCAATGGCTTGGGTTTACATTGCCCAAAGTATTTAAAGAAAGAGAGCAGCAGAGCTAGTTTGTCAGCACAGTGTCTTTTCAGCTGTTGACAATCTGTGTTTCAATCCGAACCAGAAGGGAATAAGGTTCCCCAAGAGGCCGGAGTGTCTTTTAGCACACTTGACCCCTCTCCAATTGCGACTTGACATCTCCATGCAACAGACTTGCCAATTTTCCAATGCAGAGCTACCTGTTTCTCCAACTGAAGTCAATGAACTGCTCTCACCCGTCCATGTTGGAAACCAGCTTCTCCAGTTCAGGAATACTTTCCAATTCATGTATTGAGTTTGCTATTCACAACCTTGAAACTGTACCCTTTTAATCTGCCTAGATACTTTTTTTAATATTCTATTAAATATATTGATCAACTCTTAAGGTATTCAAGTTTTCTTTAGTTTAAAAGCTGCAAACATATGAATTAGAAGCAGGAATAGGCCATTCAGCCTTTTGAACTTGCCCCATAATTCACTCGGAAAAATTGTAGCTTATCAAAGCATGTTTCCAAAGCTGTTCCTTCTTGTCCCAGGATCAGCTTATTGCTGTGCTCTGTGTTACCTCCAGGGCCTAAGTGGCACCCTTGTGCCTCCTAAATATTTACTGTACTGGTGTGGTAAGGCACTGTACTGCATTAGTGTGGTCTCTGTGGATTTAAACTTGCTTACAGTATTATGATTCCACCTGATGGACAAGTCAGATTCCAGAGTGAAACATGGCTTGATAGACCATTGAATTAATTTTTCTTATAGTTTCCCATGGTGGTCAGTCACTGGCAAATATTCACAAGAGGCTGCCAAAATAGTTTTAGCAAAGAACGTAAGTCTCTGGCTGCAAAGTGTATTACGCTAGGCAATAACTATTGGAGCAATTTTATTACAAACATCACAATTAAAGATTCATCCCAGCAACAGCCTCACAACACTTGAACCTCAATGAAGAGTCACCCTGTCTTCACACCAAAACTACTCATTCAGTTGTAATTGTTTTCCTTTCTGCAAAATGTTTGCACGTTAAAATATGATTTCTCCAGATAATGTCTCTATCCAGGCCCTAAAAAAGCAAACTACTAATTCATCTCACTGACTTAACATGGGTTTCTGAGCTCACGTCTTCAACAATCTTAAGATATCTTCCTCTGTAAAACCCCCACGGCCTCTGCCTCTGGACTTCTAAGGAGCTCACAACATCTCTGCAGCCCTGGTTGCTCGGAGACTGCTAATACCAATAGCACCTCAGCTGTTTTGGACCTTTCCCGCACCCCAATCCCCATTTGGTGGCTTCTCCCGCCCTTTCTTGCTCATTCTCTCACTCTGTCGCTTTTTTGTTTGGGAGAGAATAAAGTCTAACTTCACTAAGGTGTAATCCTACTTTCCCTCTAATTATTCTTTCTGCTCAAAGGTTGGTGTTGGCAGCGGTTTCTGCTCAAAGTCGATGTGTTGGTTGTGCTGATAGATACATGGACCCTTCGAGTGGCCATGCAAATTACAGGAAACACTGGGTTTATAAACTAAAATCTGTTTTCCTCTCTTTGAGAACAGAATATACAAACACCTCTTCTGCTTTGAGTTTTTTTTCCCATTTTATAATTTAGACCGAAACAGCATTACATCAGGTAACACCATGAGATCTTTCCAAGGTTTTCTTTGATAATTGCTGTGCTCCTGGTTTTCAGGTGCCTTTTTGATTTCCCCATAGTGATTATAATGCACTGTTCTACATTATGTATTGCCACTAATCAGTCCATTATTTTAAACCCTGTCAATTACCTTTTGTAAATCCTGGCAGTGACATCCAAGTTCTACACTTCACCACCTCCAGCTTGGCAGTTTAAACTGATACACTTGGGTTTCAGGTCACAGATATAAACAGAAAGAGGTGTATTGGAAAAGGGGCAAGTGATAGCCTAATGGTATTAATGCTGGACGTTAATCCAGGTTGCAAGGACAGTTCATGTAATCCCAGAGCCTTTCTACATGACAAATGTTCTCTATAGACTCCCTCACTTTTTTCCCCTCCCCTCATAGTTCATCAGATTTTTTTTTTAAAAATAAATCCAGAAAATCTATCCTTTCTAAATCTTCAGCTGTCGCACTTATGTTAGTTGTTTTTAACACGAATGTATCTGTTTTAGTTACGATTATTGGTTTCATTGGTTTTTTGAGATCAAACAAATCTGAAATTTTAAGGTGCAGCAAAACTATGTAATGAAAAATAGAAGCTGCTTTCATCCTGTACTCTCTAGGAATCTTAATGTTCATTACCTCCCTTGTGAACACCGAAACACAGAACATAAGGGCAGGAATAGGCAATTCAGCCTTTTGAGTTGGCACCATTATTCAATATGATCATGCAATCTCAATATCCCATTCCCATCCTCTCCTCTTATCCCTTGATCCCTTTAGCCATAAGGGCCATGTCCAGTTCCCTCTTGAATATATCCAATGAACTGGCCCCAACAGCTTCCTGAGGGGGAGAATTCCACAGGTTCACAACTCTCTGAAGAAATTCTTCCTCCTCTCAGTTCTGAATGGCCTATCCCTTTATTCTTAGACTGTGACCCCTAGTTCGTGACTTAACCCAGCATTAGGAACATCCTTCCCACATGTAGCCTGTCCAGACACACCAGAATTTTGTATCTTGAGATCTGCGCCCCCTCCATTCTTCTAAATTCCAGTGAATACAAGCCCTGTCAATCCAGTCTTTCCTCTTTCACAAATGTTCACCTTTCTTTCTCTAAATAATGGAGCATTTGGTTGATCGGATTTGAAGAATGTGTTGATCGCCAGACTATTTGAAGCCACAATCTACGTTGCCTAGAAATGTTTTTGATGTTACGTTTTGTGCCTTCGCTCTTAACTTGAAAAGATAAGTTTAGGAAATAGCCTTGCTTTCATTTTAAGCTGTTTCCTTTTCATTTCCATGCTGAGCTGTACAGAGCTTTGGATGAGTCAGTGAAGTCTTTTCTCTGCTTGTAGAGGTGCATTGCAAAATAAGATTATTCTCCAATCTGTTCCTATTGAGCACAATCTTGCAGGAGAAACATAAATTAGTTGGCAGTTGGCAAGAGGCAAATACAATATATTAGACAACTTAAGGCAGTTAAGATGGAAGTGATTGCTTCAAAATGTGTCTGATGCACTGTTTCGTCACAAACATTACTTATTTCTAGGAGTGATCTTGAAAGAGGGGCAAGAAGTGATGATTTTCTACACCCATCACTGAAATCCTTGCTTTGACCAGCAAAACATCCCTCAACAAGCGTGACGCCATCCAAAACGAAATAGCCCATTTGGTAACACATCCACTCCCTCCACCATGATGCTCAGTACACACTACTACTACTATCCACCAGTACACTTTAGAAATTCTCCAAAGATCCTTAGCACCTTTCAAATCCACAACTGCTTCCATGGGCAGCAGGTGCAATGGGAACACCACCACTTGCAATTTTCCCCTCGAAGCCACTCACCATTCTGACTTGGAAATACATCGCCGTTCCTTCAGTCATTGGGTCAAAATCCTAGAACTCCTTTCCCAAGGGCATTGTGGGTGAGCCCTCGGCATGTGGACTGCAGTGGTTCAAGAAGGCAGCTTACCACCACCTTCTCAAGGGGCAACTAGGGACGGGCAACAAATGCTGGCCAGTCAGTGATGCCCACGTCCGACAAATGAATTTTTAAAAATGGATTAATGACACATGTAATAGAAACTTTGGTCCCATTTTGCTTCTGTTGGTGCAGTTTCAGATATTTGAACTGAGCAGCAAAACAGCTTTTTAAAAAAAAACCTGAATATCATGTCTAAGCTATAGTATTCTTTCCTTAAAAAATTTTAGAATTTGAGGATCTACACAGAACTGGTAGCGTATACCATGAGACCATTATTGATTTGTCATACAAACCCATCCTGATCATTAGTTTTCTTTTTTGTGGATGGAAATTTTGCCTTTACCTAGTCTGGCCAATGTGTGACTCTCGATTCCAGCAATGTGGTTGACTCATCAGTGCTCTCTGAGAGGCCTAAGAAGCCACTCAGTTAAGGGCAATTTAAGGATGGGCAATAAATGTTGACCCAGCCAGCAGCGTCCACATCCTGTGAAAGATTAAAGAAAGTGAGGCAGACCAGGGAGGGACTGCAGATTTCCTGCTGAGCCTTTCTTTTGGGACAAGTGACTGAAGCTCAGTCAAAATTTTAACTAACATCTAAAGAAAGAGACACCCCTTCATCAAAGAGGGAGATTTAAGAGGGTTTAGTTATCTGACCTGCCATCTCTTTATCTGACTCGAGTCATCAGTTTTGTACAGACCCTGTTCCCTTTAAGATGCTATATAAACTCAAATTGTTAGAATTTGTGCTTAGGACTTATAGGCAACTGGAGGTACAGCTGTCAAAGACCCAGTGGACTAGAGATGTAGTTCCCCAACTTCAGCTTTAGGAGTACAAGTCCTCAGTGCTGGCCGCAGGGGGTTCATGGTAATGGTTGTGAAATTGCAATACCATGGAGTGATGTGAACAGTCCAATTCGGACAATGCTCCTGGAAGCCTGGCTACTCCACTAAGCCAACAGCAATGTAACCTTTGAACAGCCACACTTCTGCGTGAAAACATTCCGTCTCTTCTTTCTCCTCTTTTTGTTTTGTTTTAGGTTTTGAACACCGTTCCTGCAGACCAGGATGTTAAAAAACCAAGTGGTTTGTATTTGCAAGATGGGAAACGTCGTGTGGATTATGTACTGGTGTATCAGTATAAGAAAGCCAACCGCAAGGGGCTCAGCTCCCGCCAGCAGTGCACAGTCAGCAGTTCTCAGCAGGATCAAACAGAGCCCCCTCTCCAGCCCTCGGAATTTCCGGATGATGATAGGAGAATGCGCAGAGAAGAATTTGAACTAAACCTTATCGAATCTGGATTGGAACTGGAAAGCGATGAAGAGGTAATATTCCACTCCTTCAGATCAATGCAAAGATCTTGTAGATCAGCGAGATGTTCAAGAATGAATTGGATGATTAATCATTAAAATAATATGCAAGGATTTAGTGGAAAAGGCTGGAGACTGGCAATGGCAAATGATGCTCATTTAACAAGCTGGTGCAGGTTCAGGTTGGCCGAATGGCGTCCTGCACTGTAACAGTTCTGTGACTCGGTGCTGACCCACTTTAAAATAGGTGACTAGGTTTGTTAGAGGATGTATATTTGTCTTTGCGGTGTCTAGGGGGAAGCCACTTAACTCAATTGGCTGGACGCAGTGTAGATTGAAACAATGCTAACAGCATGGGGTTTGATCCCCTCCTGCACCTTCACAGTAAAATTCCCCATGAGCTGTAGTTTAACAGCCATTGACTGCTCAATGGTGTAATGTGAAGAAGATTGGCTTAATGGTAGCTGTGACATTCAGGTCTAGCCTCTCTGATAATGTAGATGTGAAATAATAAATGTAGACTTCTCCCACTATTGTTTGGGAAACCTTTGATTATTGTGGAAAATCTTTAAATACCAGCCTGTGGCTCACTTTGATTCTCAAAAGGAAGGTGACAATCTAATACAGCAATACTGCTGGAATATGCAAAATAGAACTGAGTCACTGTCTTATAGTTCACAAAGCTAATTATTAGCTGAGCTATGTTCCAATTGTAATTACTTGGATCAGGATCAGAGGCAATCAAGTCCATACTTTCATCAGATGGACAGCTCTTTACCCTAATTCAATTTATTTTGTTTTTGCCAACCTGAGTGACCACAAATCATCATGCTTGTCCCTAAACTGTTACAATTATTATAAATGTTTAAATTGCATAAGGCCATGAGCTAGATATAGTTGAGCCTTGTCACTGCGTAAATAATTTAGGTGCTCATAAATAATTGCAATAGGTTTAACAAGAGGAATTTTACACTGTACTTAAGTCTGTAACCACTAATGCTGCTTGTAATGTATTCTGTGTTGTGTTGGCTCACATTGGACTCCCAAACAGGATGGACAGAAATAAATTGTTAGGGGGGTGTGATGCAGCATTCAGTTAACATAAACATCTGCCACACTGCAGTTTCACTCTGAAACAACTTGCATTGCATTGGTTTGGACCCCTTGTTAAAACCATTATCTAAATGCTGATGTAGAATACCATTTTAGAGACACCATCTCTCCATGTGAACTCTGCCTATCAACATCCGGAGTTGTCCTGACTTTGTACATACTCTGTTTATTTAACCAACATTACTATTGCAGTTTGTAGCAATTCATGGAGCCATCCAATTCTTTAACTGGTGATCAATTTACATTGCTGTCAAAAGCCTTATTCTGCTTAGAGGGGGTGGTGGAGAGGGGCTTAGTGTGTAGTAATATTTTGGGAACATGCATTTCCACTCTACTGAAGATTCTCCCCACAGCTCCCCCACCTGTAACCTCAGCACCATTCTCTGCCTTGACTTTCCTGAAGCTCCAGCTGATGATGGTCATTACCATGAGTATGTATTTCTCCTCCCAGACTGATTTTCATGTGGATATATGAAATAAAATGTGGTAATTTTTTAGACTTTTGTATATTACTCAGAGTAGTAAGGGTGTGGAATGCCCTGCCTGCAACAGTAGTAGACTCGCCAACTTTAAGGGCATTTAAATGGTCATTGGATAAACATATGGATGATAATGGAATAGTTTAGGTTAGATGGGCTTCAGATTGGTTTCACAGGTCGGCGCAACATCGAGGGCCGAAGGGCCTGTACTGCGTTGTAATGTTCTATGGTACAAGCTTTTGAAGCCTATTTTTAAATTTTAAAGGTTTCTTTTCTACTGTTCAAAACCTGGTTTATGATATATGATCTTAAATTATCTGGTGTGAGGTACAATTGGACAAGGAATTTCCATTCTTTCACTTACTCAAAATAAAACTAATACCTACTGATGTGGAATACTCCACTGTTTGATTTTTTTTTTTTCTCCTGTTTGATCCGTTTGGGAAACTGTATTCCAGACTTTCCCTTCCACAGTAAAATTCGCAGACCTAGTCTAAGGTGGTAGTCCCTCTTCTTTGTCACTACTCTGCAAGCAAGCATCCTGATTGATCTATAGATCAAAGGTTGATGTGACAAAATCTGTTTTAATGATACATAGGATAATGCTGCTTCTCTGTTTCATTAATTTTGATTTTTTTTTTACCTCAAATGTATTCCTTAGTCAAAGATGTGCAGGTTAGGTAGATTAGCCATGCTAAATTGGCCCAAAGTGTCTAGGATATGCAGGCTGGGTGGATCAGCCAATGTATATGTGGGGTTATGGGGATTGGGTGGGTGGCTAGGTCTGGTGCGATGCCCTTTGGACAATCTGTGCAGGCTTGATGGGCCAAATGGCCTCTTTCCACACTGTAAGGATTTTATGATAAGCGACCCACTCACCTGTAGCTCTAATCCCTGGTCAGTACAACCTCTTGGCCTCCCCAAATCCTGCCAGCACAGAATGGGCCCTGTGCTTTGGAAAGATCTTCTGTCTGTCTGAATGGAAGAATGTCCCCTGTGTAGCTTCCAGCTGGTCTGACCCTTCTATGGTCCCAGGCCTTCAGAAGACGTTTAAGATAGTTGGGAGTTTGGCAGTGAAAGAAAGAGGCTAATGAGACTGGAAGTATACAGAAACTGTGCAATATGGGAGATGTAATGACCTGTTTGGAAAATGAGAGCAGAATGTTGAGAGAGAATGTCAAAATAGACAACAGTAAATGCCTGAGTCCCAAATAGTGCAGGATTAGGGGTACAGACTGGAAAACAGGGAAACACAACTGCAAAGATTTTGGCACGGAATGTAGTTACAGACTCAATTACAAAAATACACCTCATTTTCATTAAAGGAGGTCAATTAATTGTGTATTTGATTTTTAATGATCTAACTGTTAATCTTGGTGTTTTATTTCATGCTTAATCATTTTAAATTTAAGTGGATGGTTATGACTGTATTTTGCTTCTTCATTGCCTTTTGTAGTTGCCCCTGTGGAACAAAATCTCATGACAATTCTGACCAGAGCTGTGTGTAAACCCAACAGCTGGCTGTGTGGAATTGCTCCTGGTCAAAAACCCTTAGTCTGAATACTTCCAGTTAATACTGATGTTCAAATTAAAGCATCCCAAGCAAACTCATCACCATTTTCAGTCAATTTAGAATGTGTTATTCAATGTGGGGCATATTTTAAGTTCTCTCATTATTACCCAGTGTATAAAATGACAGCTACTATGATTCTATTGGAGCCCTCTGTTTGACAAGTGTAGCTGAAATGTGGTTGAGGTATTTCATCTAAGTGAATGGCTGTTTGCTAAAGTGATTTTAATCTGCCAAGTTATTTGTGTATCTAATTTGAGCAGTTTTCTTTTGTTACTTCACATGTAATTTAATTCTCCTTTTTTAAATTTGTTTCTTCAGTATGTGTTGCAGTTTAATTGTCATTCAGACAATTTTGGGTTTGTATGTATTAACATCCAGGATGATACAAAATGATTTTCCTCACTGTCAAAAGGAATTTAAATGAAATGCATTTGTCAAATGTGGTGTGTGCTGTGAATTTACTGCTTATATGTAACACCTGACTGGATGGGATGTGAGAACTTCCTTTCTACCACAGCATCTTATGGAGAAATGAGGCTAACTTATTTTGGGATTTTAAAAAAGCACCCCTTTATTTCTAATGAACACATTGCCTCCAAGTTGCACTGTGTGATGGGGTACTTTGAAATATTGTTCACTCCCTGAATAAGACTTTTTATTTATCCAGCTGTTAGATGGGCAATAGCCAAGCAAGCTTAAAGGAATTGAAGATAAAGTTATGCATTCTGATAAAACCAATGAAAGTTAACTCATCTTAGAATGTGGAACACCCTTTTGCAAAGTTCTGCCTCTTAATCAGGGTTAATTTTTGTCAGTAAAACTGGGCTTTAACTGTTGAGAATAATACAAAATAATTTTCAACATCTAATGAGGCCATGCCATCCTCATGGTGAGATGGCACAGTAGTTATTTGCCCTTGCAGTGAAGGGAGGATGAGTCCCAAAGCATTGGTTGTAACATGTTTACAGAGTACAGATGATCAAATCTCGGCTGATATTTTTACACCTATTTATTGTGTGTGTGTGTGAGATGTTTGACTTTGCTGTTTTACTTGGTTAAACACTGTGTGTCTGGTATATTGTTTGTTCTCTTATATTATTCCTCTACTGCTGCTCCCTTGATGCTCAGAATGATCTCAGCTGTGAGTCCAGTCCAGTAATGAAAAGAGGTAATAGCTCTGAATCCATGCAGCAGGATTTGAATGGTGATCCACAACTGGTAGGAGCCACTAAGTAGCAATGTGATGAATGCAATTCTGGTAGCTATAGTCTTTGTAGTGATTAGCCATTGTGTAGTTGGCTGTGTATTTCCTGACTGTCCCAATTATACTTGAATATTAGTAGTGAAATGATTCTTGTAAATTGTGAACTGGGTACTTTGTATTAATACATTGACTTTCATTTTCCTAACTCTTGTGTACCCTCCTGCTTTAACTCCGTTCTCATGGAAGGGAGGAGGTTCAATGGTATAATGACAGCACCACTTGGAAATGAAAACTGGCAATATTTAGTTAACTGGATGTCTGACTTAAAAACCCACCACTATTTGAGTTTCCAAACTAAAGAGCTAGGTACATCTCATTTTGTCTATACTCATTCCTAGTATCAATTCTAGAAAAAAAAACCCAGTAGCCAAAAGATAGAGGAGCAGAAATTAGGCTATTTGGCCCATCAAGTCTGCTCCACCACTTAATCATGACTGATCAGTTTCTCAACCTCCTTCTCCTGCTTTCTCCCCGTAACCTTTGATCCCCTTGACAATCAAAACCTATCTATCGCGGTCTTAAATATACTGAATGATTTGGCCTCCACAGCCTTTTGTGGCAACGAATTCTGTAGATTCACCACTCT